CAGTCCATCTGCCTGTTTTGTTCCCCACTCTATCTTGGTGAATCCTCTCACCCCCACACCTCTGGCCTGAAACACAGTTCTGTATGAATAAATAAATACATCTTAAAAAAAAAAAAACAAAAAAAGGGGGACCAAAAGAGACAAATGCATGAAGGACTCAAAGGCGTGAAAAAGTCATTGGCTTGGGAAATTTAGGACTCAAAAGGAAAGTAGAAGCCAAGTTGTACTGAGAGGAGCACAGGATGGGGAGAAAAGAAAAAACACATCATGAGATAATACTACTATTTTGCATATTATTATGGTGAAACTGTCAGCAGCACCAGTCCAGGTGGTAGGTTTTGAATGCAGCATGTCATAATTCTTCTAAGATATGGTGTAGTTTTGGGGACAATTTTCCACTTCTTGCCCTATGAAGGCACATCTCATGAGGATCCTTGCTTCTTAATTGAAAATGGCGTTAGTACTTTAGAGGCATAAACTTCAAGAAACAGGTTTAAGTGAGCCATAATTGAATGCCATACAATTATTTTTAAGTGTTTTGACTTTCAACTTTATATAAATTTTAATCTAACTGCAAAAATGATGTCACATTTAACCCCCACAAGATAATACCTCTTCCTGAAAAATCCTTTTTAATTCCTGGCATAAACCTCTTTTCTGGCTGTGAAATGAGCATAGAAGAGATGTGGCTATACAAACATCTCAACAGCAGCCCATTTCAGTATGAGACATACTGAAATGCCTCCACGTCACTCTGAACGTGAAGGTGGGTAACATTTAAAGCATATCCTTTATCATTTGGAGAGATGTGATAGAAGGCAGACCTGATGCCTTGCAGGCAGAGGGAACACAAGAGTAACAAATGAATAGGCATGAAAAATGGACACTTGTCACTTAGGTATTAGATGTAAAGCAGAATGGCTCAGAATAATGTGTAGGCGACCTGTCTGGGGGTGGGGGATGAATTTCTGCCCTTGGAAGACCATTAGGAGTCTACTTTTCCATTTTCCTTCCATTAATCATCATGGTGTTATTAAAGTATCAAGTCCTTTCATTATAATCTAGATTACTTTTGCAAAGTCAACTTGGTCTACCTCTAATTTAGTTGCTGATTCCACCAAATAAAAGAAAAATAAGCTGTGCCATATGTATGAATTCCAAAGGATTTTTACTTAAGAACCATAAATGTTGGCTTCCTAAATCTATACAGTGAAGTCCAATGATCGGAAATTAGCAGATATAGAATCAGAACTGAAACTATAGGGATTTATATTTATTGTCTACCAGTAACAAAAGAAAACCTTGTAGAATATACACATGTGAGTACACATGCCATACCATGTTGTTTATCTTAGAATTTTGAGCCTTTCAATGATTATTTTTTTTACATAATAAATGGAGGCTAAAATTATTTATCACATCGAATGCACTAATTCATGACGTTCTTCAAACCTACACTCTGATTTTGGACAATGTGGTAGATAGAAAACAAGGCTAATAGTTAGATGACTTTGTGGTTTTCATCTCCTTCATCATTTGTAAAACAGGTAAATTGGAGGCTGTGAAGATCTCTTTTGGATCTATGGCTGAAAAGGCTAACAGTTTAGATATACATTTTGGAGATAAACTTTTTTTTATATATATATATAGCTACTTTGTGGCTGTAATGGCCCTTTTAGGAGATATATCAATTATAACTGTGCAAGAAACATAACAGAAAAAATATTTTATCAATGATTTAAGTGCTGATATATCTTTGAAGAAAATAGCTCATAATTTTCCCCTCAGGACAGTTTTTATGGAACATCTGGACACTCGTATCTGCGTGTGTGGATTGGTAAGATTTAGAAAACGGCAGAAGGGAGGGTAACAAAATATTCTGTACAGATAATATCAGAAAATTCTTCATCCAAGTCCAAGAGAGCAATATAAAATACATTACAAAAATAGATGAGAATTAAGGCTCAGATGATTGTAAATGCATTGAGAATTACTTTGACAAAACTAATTTTCTCTCTCCAAGGGGAGATGGAGAGGAGAATGTTACCCAAGGAAGTTCATCATGTGTTTGTGCATATTAATGAAAATTAT